AAAAATATTTTCAGTACTTTTCAAGTTATCGCGGGATCCAGTTTTGTGGACGGACGGACGTTCTTACATTTTTATTCTTGTTGGGTATTTTACTGTGTTAAAAAAGTACCCAACAATCAAAGAAAATACCCAACAATACATACGGAGTGAGTAGGATTGGTAGTTGTTGGGTATTCAGTACCCAACATATACCCTCTCGTGCGCTCGGACTGACAGACAGACGGGCGGACAGACGGACAGAGGGTAAACCTAAAGTCCCCTCCGGTAAACCGGTAGGGGACTAAAATTGGCCAGTGTTATTATATTTCATACTTACATGCAAAATATAAACACATTCAGTGAAATTCTTTTACAATTATTATGTGGAAACTAATAATTTCATACAAAACCATTGATAAATAGGGGACATAATGAGTCTGATTGCAATTAAATTGAACATAACTTGTGTTTTGATACAAAATCATAACGTAGGTACTTTTGTTTAAAATAAACAGAATCAGTTTAAAGCTATAAAAGTTAATATGCTAAAACCAATAATTTTACTCAAAAAATAATGCTTAACAAGAGCTGGCATGCAAGTGACAAATGCCCCCTAAAAGGTTTCTTCAGCATGCAGTTATTATAAAAAGAAAAGGGAATGAAAGTAACTGATTGCTTAATATTGTTCTTGTGAAAAGAAGTGCTATTTATAGCAAACTTAACACCTTGGGACAAGAGTTTTGGATGCGACACCCATCTTGACGTGGTAAACATTAACGCAAAATTATTTTAAAATCCTTCAATGCATGACAATGTTACAGTTTGGAAACTAGTGTGTACCTTCAAACTCCTCTTATGAGCATAAGTACCTTCAAACTATAAGAGTGACCTTGACCTTTGAGGTAGGAAAATGGGTCACACACACAACAATCATCTTGATGTGGTTGATATTTGTGCCAAGTTATCTTAAAAGTCTTCAATGCATGACAAAGTCCAGACACGAATGTGTGTACCTATAATTTCTAATTGTGATAGCATGAATCTTTAAAATATGAGTGTGACCTTGACCTTTAAAGAAGGGACGTGGTTCTTGGACGCGACACAACGTTGTCATGTGATTATCATTTGTGCCCAGTTATTCCAAAGTCACTCAATGCATGACAAAGTTACATTCTGGACATGATTATTGTGCAAGTTCCTTAGTGGGGGACACACGGACAGACAGACATGAGCCTTAGCCTTGACACATTGTCTTTTTGTCAAAGACATTTTTGCCAAGTTGTTTTAAAATCCTTCCATGCATGACAAAGTTACAGTCCGTACATGAATGTGTATCTTCAAATTCTTCTTGAGAGAACGAGTACCTTCAATTTATAAGTGTGACCTTGACTTTGAAGGTAGGGACATGGGTCTTGGACACGACATGTCATCTTTTATGACATATATGCCTAGTTATTTTAAAATCCTTTGATGTATGACAAAGTTACAGTCTAGACACCAATGTGTGTACCTATAACCTCTATTTGTGATAAAGTGAACTTCAAAATGGAAGTGTGACCTTGACCTTTTAGGAAAGGACAAGATTCTTGGAAGCGACACATCGTCTTGATGTGGTAGAAGTTTATGCCAAGTTATTCTAAAATCCTTCAATGCAAGACAAATTCACAAATGTGTGAACCTATAAACTCTTATTTTGATAAAGTGAAACTTCAAAATGTAAGTAAGACCTTGACCTTTGAAGTAGGGATGTGATTCTTGCACACGACACATCGTCTTGATGTGGTACACATTTATGCCAAATTATGCTAAAATCCTTGCTGCACAACAACGTTACTGCCTGGAAACGATTGTAAGTACCTATTAACTCTAATTGTGATAATGTGAAACTTCAAAATGTGTAACCTTGACCTTTGAGGTAGTGATGTGGTTCTTGAACGCGACACATCGTCTTGATGAAGTAGACATACATGCCAAGCTATTTTAAAATCCCTCAACGTATGACAAAGTTTCAGTTGGGACACGAATGAAGTGGGGACGCACAGACAGACAGACTGTCAGTGCGAGTTTAATATGCCGCCAATCGGGGGCATAAAAATGAGCATAACTATTAATGATGAGTTGATTGCAGCAAAAGTCAGACTTAATAGGAGTTTAACAAGAGCTGTCGGTAGGACAGCACGCTCGACTATTCTAATTGCTTGATAGTAAAAGAGCCTTGATAATGTTAAATTTTTTAAGTTCACAAAAGGGCTAATTTTTTTTATAAATTCATGTTATAGGTCTTAGAGAGAGTCTAATTATACAGTATTGGCTTGACTATTTGGAAGGTAATGTCACAAGGGTGCTTTATTGAGTATAATGATACTAATTACCTATGAATACATAAAATTGACAGAAAAGGTACAAAGGCTTGTTATTAAGATGTTTTATCAAGTAAATCACTGCTTTATTATTACGAATGCATAAAATTGTCCCAAAAAAGGCACAAACCCTTCAGTAGTTATGGAGATAACAGCTTACAAGCAAAACTTTACCATGAATTTTTTAAGTTGAAAAAAGGAAGAAAAATCAGCCTAAATGCAAGATAGAATTATGGATCTTTGTCAGTGACCTACAATTCTGACCCTAAATGCATATGTGAAGTTTTAAATAAATATCTTTAATAGTTATTGAGATATGTAAAACTTGCATGTAAACATTAACCAAGAGACTAAGTAGAAAAGGGGATATGAATCAGCCTTAATGCAAGATAGAGTTATGGAACTTGGTCAGTGACATACAATTATGACCCTCAAATTATAACCCTAAGTACATGTGTAAAGTTTCAAGGAAATATCTTTGAAGACCTTTAACCTTTAACCAAAATCTCTAAGTTTCAAAGGGGCAAATAATTCTGCAAATATTGCAGACAGAGATATGCAATTTAGCAAAACTATGTACATTGTTACTATAAAAAAGTATTGTAAATTTCAAATGAATATCTCAAGCAATAATTGAGATATTTGACTTTACAAAAAAACTTTAACCAAAATTTCTAAGTTTCAAAGGTGCATAATTCTGTCAATATTGTGCACAGAGTTATCCAACTTGTCAATCTGATGTACCTTGTTACTATAAATAAGTATTGTAAGTTTCAATTGAATATCTCAAGCAATAATTGAGATATTTGTCTTTACAAAAACTTTAACCAAAATTTCTAAGTCAAAAAGGGGCATAATTCTGTCAATATTGTAGGCAGAGTTATCCAACTTGTCAATCTGATGTACCTTATTACTATTAATAAGTATTTTAAGTTTCAATTGAATATCTCAAACAATAATTGAGATATTTGTCTTTAACCAAAATTTCTAAGTTAAAAAGGGGCATAATTCTGGCAATATTGTAGATAGAGTTATCCAACTTGTCAATCTGATGTACCTTGTTACTATAAATAAGTATTGTAAGTTTCAATTGAATATCTCAAGCAATAATTGATATATTTGACTTTATAAAAAACTTTAACCAACGCAGACGCCGACGCGGACGCTGACGCCGACGCGACTACAATAGCTCTCATATTCTTCGAATAGTCGAGCTAAAAATCATAAACTTACATGCCAAATATAAACACAATGCATAGATCCTTGACCTGTCCAATTCTAATTATAAGATTAGTGGATACAATAAGAATTTCACCACAACATTCTGTTAACAATTGAGCATATGTCAATGTTTGTGGGTAATTTTATTGTTATTCAAATGAAAGGTCAGAGTAAGGATCTATCAATCACTGGAATTCTTCAAAAGTTATGCTGCGGAAACCAAATGTCTACAAACAGACGGATGAACAGACGGACATGTGATTGAAATCGGTTAAGGGGATATTTTTTTGTTATTTTTTATTGTTTAACAGAAACCCATTGGCCCTTTATTCTATTGTCACAGAATGAACGCTTAGTTTTTTTAGTTCTGTTTACAGTTAGATGGCCCCCTTACCCCATTTTGGTAGTGTGAACAGACAACTCCATACCATAATACATCCCCTAGGTCTTAGGGCATATAAAATTACTGTAGTATGCTTTGCTAATAATAGATCTGACGCACTATGCAATACAATGAAACAGCTAAATGCTGAATTCAGATCTTCCAAAGTTTTACATATAGATTGAGCATGACCAACCTTGATTGGCCTTCTGTCTATTTCTGACTTCAAAAGACTTATTTCAAGCCAAAGAATCAAGTCGTACATTACCGAGAGGCGAATGACTAAAGACATTAAAGTGTATTCTTTTTAACTAATGTTCCACACACACACACACAAATTTGAAATAAAATTAAGGGAGATAATTATAAAACTAAACTTTACAGTTATGATTCTTGGTCACTGTAGATACAGAAAATAATAAAGTATGTTCTAGTTGCCATCTATCTATACTTAAAGTTTCCAGTCAATACCTTAGAAAGTTTTAAAGTTGGGAACAAAGATTTGGAATGGAAGTATATACAGATGGAGACTATAACCATACCACCAATGGCAGGGAAAATAGCTGTAATACTTTCTATTTTTTACTTACCACTGGGGTTAGCTTCATTCTACAAAAAACAAAACAAAAGAAAAACAAATCAAAATCCTTCAAATCTTTACTGAAACATATCATACAATCACCATACAAAAATTACATTCTCCATTATTTGTCTATACTTTTAATTGGATTTAGATAGTATAAAGTTAATGTGGTGATAATAAAGCCTTAACTTTACAGTAAAACACAAATATATCGCTGCATGTATTATCCGACACAAATGAGCTCCTCTCTTAAACCAGCTACATTCTCTATAAATAACTCCGAAAAATATTCAAGGATAACAATGCATAGCAGTGATCAATCTGCATTCATGTTAAACCCTACACTGCTAAACTTCTAAACTAGACATGTCTACCTATCATTTTATTTTCAATGTTTTAGACATAAAGTAACATGCCATCTTATCTGACAACACAGCTAATAACCAATGTCTTATAATGAGACAAATCATTTTGTACAACTGAGCCAACTTGACCCTATTTATCCTATATCCACACAATGGTTTGTTCCAAGCAAATATTTAAAATATCTATAAATATATGAAGACAAAATGAGAAAAAAGTTTAAACTAGACCTATCACTGAAGGTGATTAATACCCCCACCAGCAACTTTTTGAAAAATAAGTAGTCAGAAGAAAAATTTCAACACAAACTATCAACTGTGTACAAAGAAATATTTCAATTAATTGTAATCCCAACTGGGGTCTCCAAATAAGCTTGCTTTTCACAAAGTTTGATTACAATATCTCATTCCTAACTCTAGTTATTGTCCGGAAACCATTTTTCTATTTTTAGGAATGGTGACCTTGACCTTGACCCCAGGGGATCCAAATGCAGTACCAACCCAGGTCTTCATATAAGCTTGCTATACACCAAGTTTGATAACAATATCTCATTCCTAACTCTAGTTATTGTCCGGAAACCATTTTTCTATTTTTAGTAACGGTGACCTTGACCTTGACCCAAGGGGGTCCAAAAACAATACCAACCCAGGTCTTCATATAAGCTTGCTATACACCAAGTTTGATTACAATATCTCATTCCTAACTCAAGTTATTGTCTGGAAACCATTTTTCTATTTTTAGTAACCATGACCTTGACCTTGACCCCAGGGGGCCCAAAAACAATACCAACCCAGGTCTTCATATAAGCTTGCTATACCCAAAGTTTGATAACAATATCTCATTCCTAACTCTAGTTATTGTCCGGAAGCCATTTTTCTATTTTGAGTAACGGTGACCTTGACCTTGACCCCAGGGGGGTCCAAATGCAATACCAACCGGAGTTTCCACATAAGGTTGCTATATACCAAGTTTGATTACAATACCTCATTCCAAACTCTAGTTATCGTCCGGAAACCATGATGTGGACCGACCGACTTCGTTTGTGGGGGTATAATAAAGGACTGAAGGAAGAACGAATCAGACTATACACTATTTTTTTGAAGCATACAAAAATATAATTACTTTGTATCTTGTCTTTAAAGACATATTAGCTGTTCAAAAACATATAAATCTTGAAGGTCACAACCATACAAAATGTATCTAATGAACAAAAAATTGCTACTAACATCTTGAGCATATTGTACAGCTAACTGGACTAGGTTCACAAACTCTTCTCCTTTCTTCTGTTTAACAAACACACAGTTCTTGGACCACCGAGCATGCTCTATCCAAGGGTCATCTTCTGCTGTCCAATGACGCAAGCCTACATAAAAACATGTATACAACTTGAAATATACAATCATTTCATAGAGTAAGGTCTTATACTACACCAATAAACATTCTGACACATCTATTTTTGTAAAACGAACTAATACAGTTATAGTCATTGTTAGTAAAGCCTTCCCTCCAAAGCAATAGCAGAAAATATGATGATTTTCAAACCACTTGCATAGGCCCCATCCTGCAGGAAAAGTCAAATAGTAAATGTACATCAACACACTTTGAGTTGACATATTTTTACCTATTTTGGTACCAAATTAGAACTATTTCATTGACTCAGGCAGACTGAAGGTACAACAAGACAGCAATGCTCGACTATTAAAAGTTTTGTTTAACTGTGTTTTATGTCACACCGACACATTATAGGTCATATGGCGACGTTCCAGCTTTACTGCTGGAGGAAGACCTCAGGTGCCCTTCCATACATTATTTCAGGCACGAGTGGGAACCTGAGTAGAACCACCGACGTTCCGTAAGCTAGCTGGATAGCTTCCTCACATGAAAGAATCCAAAGTCCCTGTAGGGATTTGAATCCACAGCTGAGAGGGGCAAGTGGTTTGAAGTCAACGACCTTAACTACTCGGCCACTGAAGGCCCTCGACTATTCTTAGTGCTTGATAGTAAAAGAGCCTTGATAATGTAAAATTTTTATATAATAATAAAGGGGCAAAATTTTACTTTAAATCCATGTAACAGTTATAGGCCTTGGAGAAAGTCCTATTATGCTCTCAAAGAAGAGTGTAAAATTTCAACTTGTTTCAAAGCCAAATGTCAATAGAATATGAAAATATCTGAGGTGGTATGCAAACTTAAATGTTAATTCTAAGTTGAAAAGGGGCATTATTCTGCCAAATGCTTCATAAAGTTACCTTCTCCTGTCTACAGGTTGGGGTCATGATGGTGAACAAGTGTGCAAAGTTTCAAAGCCATATGTCAATGGACTTTGAAAATATTTGAGGTATTACAAAAACTTTAACATAAGTGGTTACGCTAACACTCGGGTGACTACAATAGCTCTACTTATTCTTATCCAATAGTCCAGCTTAAAAAGTGACTGAGGCAACAGAGTGAGTATACTATAACCCAGTAACTCAACAATATATGTATAAAACAAAATTGAAATATAAGCAGAGAAAATAACGAACAAGTCATTTCTAATTGAAAGATTATCCTCATCTTGGACATGTACCTGGCTTTCATTCATTGTTAAAGGCATGATAACTCTTTATGTTTTAGTCTCGGTGAATCTCGGCAGTGAGAAGAATACAAAACACACACAAATTTGAAGAAATTAATACATACCTCCCCAGTATATACGAGTAATACTTATCCCTCTTTCCAAATAAGGAAAAAAATTTGATTCTGCTACACACATTTCATAATTGATATGTAATTTCTGTCAAGTTTATAGGTCTAAATATATATTACTAAAATAATTGTGCCTTACCAATGCCACAATAGAAACATCTGGCACAATCTCCAAAACCTGAAATTAAACAAGAGCCCGGTTTGAGCCGGGTGATGCTCCCCGAATAGGTTTTGGACACAGGAAAGTACACCTCTTGTAGTTTCAGAGTTATGTCCGTGGAAAAAGTTCAAAGTGCAATAATTCCAAAATTAGGCAAGGCAGAGTTACAGTTCTTTGCACTGCACTTCTAATCAATGTGATCTATATCAACCTACAAAGTTTCTTGATGATATCTCTTATGATTTCCAAGTTATGTCCTGGACAATTCAAAAAGTAAAAATAAACAAAGGGCAATAACTCCAGAATTAAGCAAGGTAGAGTTATGATTCTTGTGCACTGCACATCTACCCATTGAGATTTATCTACCTACAAAGTTTCATGTTGATATCTCTTATAGTTTTACAGCTATGTCCTGGACAAGTTTTTTCTAAAAGGGGAGATTATTCAAAAATTAGGCTTAACAGAGTTATGGTTCTTTTGCACTGCACCTCTACTCAATGAGATCTATCTACCTACAATGTTTCATGTTGATATCTCTTATAGTTTTAGAGTTATGCCCAGGACAAGATTTTTCTATAAGGGGAGATAATTCAAAAACCAGGCAAATAGAGTTATTGTTCTTTGACACTGCACTCCCCCTCCATGCCCTCTACCACTGTATGAAGTTTCAACAAATTATCTCCAAGGGTTTTCAAGTTATGTTCCGGACAAAGTTCAAGTTCAAAGTATTAAAATAAACAAAGGGCAATAACTCCAAAATTAGGACAAAAAGAGTTATTGTTCTTATGCACTGCACATCTACGCATTGAGATCTATTCACCTACAAAGTTTCATGTTGATATCTCTTATAGTTTTACAGTTATGCCCCGGACAAGATTTTTCTATAAGGGGAGATAATTCAAAAACCGGGCAAAATAGAGTTATGGTTCTATGACACTGCTTTCCCCCTCCATGCCCTCTACCACTGTATGAAGTTTCAACAAATTATCTCCAAGGGTTTTCAAGTTATGTTCCGGACAAAGTTCAAAGTGTTAAAATTAACAAAGGGCAATAACTCCAAAATTAGGACAAAAAGAGTTATTGTTCTTATGCACTGCACATCTACCCATTGAGATCTATTCACCTACAAAGTTTCATGTTGATATCTCTTATAGTTTTAGAGTTATGCCCCGGACAAGATTTTTCTATAAGGGGAGATAATTCAAAAACCGGGCAAAATAGAGTTATGGTTCTTTGACACTGCACTCCCCCTCAATGCCCTCTACCACTGTATGAAGTTTAAACAAATTATCTCCAAGGGTTTTCAAGTTATGCTCCGGACAAAGTTCAAAGTATCAAAATTAACAAAGGGCAATAACTCCAAAATTAGGATGAAAAGAGTTATTGTTCTTATGCACTGCACATCTACCCATTGAGATCTATTCACCTACAAAGTTTCATGTTGATATCTCTTATAGTTTTAGAGTTATGCCCCGGACAAGATTTTTCTATAAGGGGAGATAATTCAAAAACCGGGCAAAATAGAGTTATGGTTCTTTGACACTGCACTCCCCCTCAATGCCCTCTACCACTGTATGAAGTTTCAACAAATTATCTCCAAGGGTTTTCAAGTTATGCTCCGGACAAGACAACGGACGGACAGACGGACAGACGGACGGACGGACAGACGGACAGACGGACAAGGCGCCGACTATATGCTCCCCCGAAATTTTTCGGGGAGCATAAAAATGACAACTAAGCTTTATTTCATATTCTTAGTAAATTTTACAAACATTTCATTCAATCACTACAAACCCTTAACCTACAGACACTTAAGTGTTTAGCCGGAACTCGGTCTGTCTGCATGTCTATGCAGTCTGACAAGGGTCTTTACTTTTGACAACATAGCAATATTCGTATTTTGAAATTGTCTCAACTTTAAATTGACAGTTAAAAATACAAATCAGCAGATGAAGAATGTAAACCATTCATATGAGAAATGCATAATTTGGAGGCACAAGTGTTCAGAATTTTCTCAAACAAAGAACTTACCAGCATAGAAGAAGCCTGCATCAACAAGTACCTCTGGTGTATGGCTGGATGTATCAGGCCAGGTACCGTAACTGGCTTCTCTAGCCGTCTTTGTAGCATACTGAGAGTGCTTAGGTTTATCTGTAACAATACATGTTATAACAATGACATGTGTTGCCTCATGATAGCCAATCGCATGTTGCAGTACTTTGTAGCAGGTGACCCAAAAATCTTAAACAGGGCATAACACTTTTTTTATTCAAGGGCAATAACTCAGCTGAAAATCTTTCAAACAAAAAACTTGTGTACTATGCACAAGAACTTGACCTACCAATCAATCTTGTAAAGTTTCACTTAAGTTGCATTAATGGTATAAGAAGGGTAGTCCTGACAAACTTTATTATTCAAGGGCCATAAGTGGGCCAAAATTCATTCAAGCAGGAAACCCGTGTAATATGCACAAGTAATTGATCAACCAATAAATAAGGTTTCATTGAAATTGCATTAGTGCTATGGGACTTGTGCCGATCATGGAAGATAATCACAGAGAACAAGTGTGTGAAGTTTCAATCCATTCCCTTCAGTAGTTATAGAGATACCAGCTTACACGCAAAACTTAACCAAGGATTTTTAAGTTGAAAAAGGGGCAAAATTATGCAACAAAGCAAATCAGAGTTATGGGACTTGAGGGAATCATGTTAGATAATCACAGAGAACAAGTGTGTGAAGTTTAAATCTATTCCTTTCAGTAGTTATGGAGATACCAGCTTACACGCAAAAACTAAACCAAGAATTTTTAAGTCCAATAAGGGGCATAATTATACAAAAAAGCAAATCAGAGTTATGGGACTTGTGCCAATCATGTTAAGTAATCACAGAGAACAAGTGTGTGAAGTTTCAATCCATTCCCTTCAGTAGTTAGAGATACCAGCTTACATGCAAAAACTAAACCAAGAATTTTTAAGACGAAAAAGGGGCATAATTATACAAACTAGAAATGTGTCATCATGCCACGGATGCCCCCGCATGCAGCCAAAATTTCAGATGGTGCATTAATTTTTTTTTTCATTTTAAGTTCAAAGCCCTTAAAACTTTTCAATGTTAACACAAACCATTTTCATACAATGTTCAAGGCACTGAAATTATTCAGTCTTAACCTTTTAAAAATAGCATATTGCATATTTGTAGCCAAAATAATGGCTAAAAGTATGAGTGCTGAAACTGAAAGTTCAAAATTTTTCCAACATTCAGGAAAGATAAGTTTGTCTAAAATCATTTAACCACGACCAAATTCAAACTTAAACTGCTTATTCCTATAAAGATGTATCTATATAATTTTTAAAGTGAAAGGGACATAACTCTGCCAAAAAATCATCAAACCATGACCAAATTCCAACTTGACCTGCCCATTCCTTTGACATATCCATATGTCAAATTTAAGTTGAACATGTAACACTGTTGGGTAGATAATGAACGGAAACTGAAAATTTCATATTGTTTTCAAAGTAAAAGGGGCATAACTCTGCAAAAATCATCGAACCATGACCAAATTCAAATTTGACCTGTATTTTTTTCATGATATATCCATATGTCAAGTTTGAGTTGAATGTGTAGTACCTTTGGGGAGATAATGAACGGAAACTAAAAATTTCATATTATTTTCAAAGTAAAAGGGGCATAACTCTGCCAAAAATCATCGAACCATGACCAAATTCGAACTTGACCTATATTTTCTCATGACATATCCATATGTCAAGTTTGAGTTGAATGTGTTGTACCGTTGGGGAGATAATGAACGGAAACTGAAAATTTCATATTATTTTCAAAGTAAAAGGGGCATAACTCTGCCAAAAATCATCGAACCGTGACCAAATTCGAACTTGACCTGTATTTTCTCATGACATATCTATATGTCAAATTTGAGTTGAATGTGTTGTACCGTTGGGGAGATAATGAACAGAAACTAAAATTTCATATTATTTTCAAAGTAAAAGGGGCATAACTCTGCCAAAAATCATCGAAACATGACCAAATTGGAACTTGACCTGTATTTTCTCATGACATATCCATATGTCAAATTTGAGTTGAATGTGTGCAATCGTTCTTAAGATAATGAACGGAAACTGATGATGACGGAATGACAGAATGACGGAAGGATGGAAGGACGGAATGACGGAACAGGGTAACACTAAATGCCCAGGCCATTACATGGCGGGGGCATAAAAAGCAAATCAGAGTTATGGGACATGAGCCAATCATGTAAGATAATCACAGAGAACAAGTGTGTGAAGTTTCAATCCATTCCCTTCAGTAGTTATAGAGATACCAGCTTACATGCAAAAACTTAACCAAGGATTTTTAAGTTGAAAAAGGGGCATAATTATGCAACAAAGCAAATCAGAGTTATGGGACTTGTGCCAATCATGTAAGATAATCACAGAGAACAAGTGTGTGAAGTTTCAATCCATTCCCTTCAGTAGTTATGGAGATACCAGCTTACATGCAAAAACTTAACCACAGGGACGTGCCGACAAATGGGTGACTGCATTAACTTGATTATTCTGCGAATAGTCGAGCTAAAAATTATCAAAGGGCCATAACTTGGACAAAAATCATTGAACCAAAAAATGCTGACAATATGCACAACTAGACTTGGTACTGACCATTCCTTAATGTTTGTTTATGAGTAGTGAGGACAAATTTTGTGACAGACAGACGATGGAGAAGTGATCTCTACATGTCGCCACTACAATGTTACAACAGTAGTTTCCTTCCATCAATATTAGTTAAGAAATTATTTTCCTATTTTGGGGTTAGCTTATTTTATCATTAATTTTAAATGATCTGTTTTAAGAGGAAAGCTTTATAAAACAAACCTTTGTTTAGATAAATGTGTAATCTGTAAATATCTAATTGTTGATTTTTTTAAAAAAACAAACTGAACTGACCAAGAATTTGATTATTTATAAATCTACCTTTTCTTATCATTTTTCATACAGTAATATAAAATTTTCTAACCAAGCGCATTTGTTCCTGATTCATTAGCTCTGTTTGGTTGTTGTGATGCTGGAGCACGTATTCTCTCAGGAGCCCAGTCATTATTAACATCTTCACTGACCTGAGGTCTTACTTTAGGTTCAGGTATCTCCATAATAGCCATTAATTCTTTACTGTATGGTCCAAAGTACTGCACTGGTACATTCACTTCTTCATTTTTTCTCAAGAACTTACAGCTTGGGTTTATTCTCTCATGAATTTTCCTAGGGTTATCTTCTGCTGTCCAATTATATCGACGAATTCCACAACAATAGCAGACAACACCATCACCATCTGATGCATAATAAAAACCAGCTTCAGATAATTTGACAAGACATGGTTTGTCTTCTCTTGGATAGCTACGTAAGGTACAGAAACGGAGCAGTTCATACCTCATAGAGACATGTGGTGTTGGTGGTGTCCCTGCAGTAATGAGGTCAATAATTTCCATTATAGGTTCAAAATTTGTAAGGTGAGCAACTGTAAGATCTATTTCAGGTACTGGTAACTCATTTATTGGCAACCATGTTACTCTTTTCAGTGGCATCATATGATTTAAGTCCTCTTCTTTAAATATGGGGTCAATTTTTTTCTTAGGTGATTTTTCTCCATTCACTTTAAATTTCAGATTGAAAAAATTATCATTATTACGATTTGTATTCCATGACATTGGACTTGCACCTTGACCAACTTTGACATCAGACTGCTCTTCAGATTGTAACAGTTGATTTGGAACAACCTGTACACTAACCTTTCGCACTGAATTACATTCATCATCCAAACAAGAACTTGATAATCTGATTGGACTGGGACTAGCTTCCCTAGAGGTCTTTGTAGCTGTGTGTATACCTTTTAAAATATAAAACAAATGGATTCTTACTTTAATGTAATAGATTATGACATTCTTACAGCAGAACTTTATAAATATGAGATCCCTTTGAGGGTGAAAGAACCTAATGATACAATAACAAAAGATAAGTCATGTCTACGAAGAAATGAGCTTAGTTTATGAGGTTAACACTATCACCTAAAAAGAACCTGATATTTTTTTCTTTTATTCTACCAAACATAATCTAGCAATAACAACTAGACCTATCACTAAAGGTGATTAATACCCCCACCAGCAACTTTAACTTTTTGAAAAAAAGTAGTCTGAAGAAAAATTTGAACACAAACTATCAACTGTGTACAAAGAAATATTTCAATAAATTGTTATCGCAACTGGGGTCTCGAAATAAGCTTGCTATACACCAAGTTTGATTACAATATCTCATTCCTAACTCTAGTTATTGTCCTGAAACCATTTTTCTATTTTGAGTAACACTGTAATGGTGACCTTGACCCCAGGGGGTCAAATGCAATACCAACCCAGGTCTTCATATAACCTTCCTATACCCCAAATTAGATTACAATATCTCATTCCTAACTCTAGTTATTGTACGGAAACCTTTTTTCTATTTTTCGTAACGGTGACCTTGATCCAAGGGGGCCCAAATGCAATACCAACCAAGGTCTTCATATAAGCTTGCTATAGGACAAGTTTGATAACAATATCTCATTCCTAACTCTAGTTATTGTCCGGAAGCCATTTTTCTATTTTTAGTAATGGTGACCTTGACCCCAGGGAGTCCAAATGCAATACCAACCCAGTTCTTCATATCAGCTTGCTATACACCAAGTTTGATTACAGTATCTCAGTCCTAAGTCTAGTTATTGTCCGGAAGCCATTTTTCTATTTATAGTAACGGTGACCTTGACCTTGACCCCAGGGAGTCCAAATGCAATACCAACCCAGTTCTTCATATAAGCTTGCTATACGCCAAGTTTGATAACAATATCTCATTCCTAACTCTAGTTATTGTCCGGAAGCCATTTTTCTATTTATAGTAACGGTGACCTTGACCTTGACCCCAGGGGGTCCAAATGCAATACCAACCGGAGTTTCCACATAAGGTAACTATATACCAAGTTTGATAACAATACCTCATTCCAAACTCTAGTTATCGTCCGGAAACCATGATGTGGACCGACCGACGGACCGACCAACTAACCGATCGACCGACATGCTGACTCCTATATACCCCCCCTAAACTTCGTTTGTGGGGGTATAATAATAACTAAACAAAAATTATACATACTGTAGGAATAATGATTTTTTTACCAAGTATATTTGTACCTGATGGTGGAAAGCAAGCACTGTCTTCTTTTGTTTCGAAAACATCATCTGATCTTCTGTTTTGTGAGCTCTGATTATTATTTGGTGCAGCATTTTCTGCATCTCTTAATTCAACTGTACCTTCAACATTATGTGTAGTTACATCATTGTTACAAACTCTCCTTGGATCTAACTTAGCATCATCGGAATGACTAGAGGCAATGTCAGCTTCAATAACTTGTTCATTAATGACCTGACTCTGAATTTTTAAAGGGTCAGCTGAATTAAAAGATTTTGACTCGCCACCAGGTAAAAAGCGTTCAGTTACTACCTTATTAGCTTTACTTTGTAGAATAAGACCTAGTCCATCAATACCATCTTTCATACTGCTAACAGAACAACCACTTTTCTTTTTCTTGCCTTTTTGATTTAAGACAGATATTGCCCTTATTAATTTCTGTTGGTTACAACCCCTTGAATCTTTATTAACAGACTGATTTTTCTTTACAGTATACTTGTGGTGACCAACTTTCAATTTATTCACACTTTTTGAACATTTATTTGTTTCCTTCTTCTTCTTTATTCTTCTCATCTCCTTTCTCTGTGACTGTTTCTTTATATACTGTACATACATGTCTGGAAAAAAAAGTCAATTGATGAAATAAAAAATTTCATAGGTGCAGCCTTTTTGTCATTCATGCCTAAGTTAATTTGTTATGACTTCACCCATTGGTCATATTCATAGTACTTTTATCCGATATATTTGATTTTGGTCTGTTTATATGGTCATTTGATTTTGCACACTTTGTTTTTCTATAGTTAAAAGCTTGTGCATTTCTTCTTTTTGTCAGCTAGGCATATCTGCCTACCGGCAGTGTTTCCATTAAGTTTCAAAATTTGGAAGTCAGAGACTGCAAAATCTCTGATATTGGAAGTCACATTCTAAAGGAAGTGAAAAGTAAATGACTCCCCAACTTCCATTTACTGAAGCCCTATACCAGTACTCCTTCAAAGCCTTAACTAGAGCATATTTTCTCTACTTCAAATCTATGCTTTCTGCGAAGATTATTCTTCATGTAACGTAAGTGACTGTTACTTTACTGACATATTACCTTCCAATTAAGAATTGTGTGGTAAAATAATGTACACATTAAAATTATAGCTTTTGAAGTGCAGTATACATTATGACTTAATGATAGTGAAACAGTTGTCCAGCTTAATATCCATTTCTGCAGACTGACAAAAAAATGAGCCTGTAAATCAATTATTTTTAGAAAATTATTGCGATTTGTAACTGAGTAAATTAAGGATTAGTGGAAAACAAACATTTTACCTATTTTGAACTAAAATACTGGCATTTTCTTTTTTATCACCATAATTGACATTGCTGCTGATAAATGTAGTCAACGTAAATTACAGTTTGGTTACATGACAAATAATGTCAAAAATAAAGAATTTCCAGGGATGATTGAAAAGTGGTTGTGATTGAAAACTGGCAGTATGTGGATATATTTAAGTTTATAATCTCTTCCACACTTCCTTTGTGCCTTTAACTGACATTATCTTTTTTAATTAATTTAAAGCAAAACATGAATAAAATTGGAACTGGCAACACATAGCATGTGATACAGGTAAATTACTTAATTTGTTAGCAACATTTTATACTTAAGGTAAATACAATTTTTTTTCTTTTTTATTTGTTACAATAGGCAGATAAATAATTTATGAATATTTCATTTCAACATTCATTCATTTATATTCATTTTATTTATTTACTTATTTATTTATCATACAATATTATTTATGAATTTATTTAATATTTATTTTATTTTTATACAATAATACCTTTTTAATTCAATTATCTAATCAATTATGAGATATCTGTTGAATAAACAACCAATCAACATGTTGAATAAACAGGGTGACATGCAATAAATAGTTAAAGGATAAAAATGCCTTGTATAACAGTGGGCAATACGATCATCATGAATTAAGGACTGTCAGGAATTCTTGGAGTAAGTGGGTGAATTTATGGACGTTTATAAAAATGTGGGTTTTTTTTTTAACCAGTAAAATGTTAAGTTTTATTGCATGTTATAATGTAAATGAGTTAAATAAATTATTACAGGTTTTATTTGTTTCTGAATTATTTACTCTTCTTGTCCTTTAATTAAAAACTTTTTAATCAAATAATACTAAAAATACTAAAAATAAACAAATAAAAGCATTAAAGTGTTGGCTTATTTACTTAATAAAAAAACAAGAGCCAGTTGAACCGGGTGATGCTCCCCGACTAGGTTTTGGACACAGAAAAGTATATCTTTTGTAGTTTCAGAGTTATGTCCCAGATAAAGTTCAAAGTGTGATAATTCCAAACTTAGGCAAGGCAGAGTAACTGTTCTTTGCACTGCACTTCTACTCAATGAGATCTAAATAGTTGTAAATCCGACTTCAAATAACAAAGTTGTGGGCCGGACACGATTTTGCTGCATGGTCATGCTGTGACCTTGACCTTCAAGAGAGCGACCAAAATGTTGCGTGCGACACCTCGTCTCAATATGGTGACCATTTCCGTAAAATAGTTGTATAATCCGACTGCAAATAACTAAGTTATGGGCCGGACACAATTTTGCTGCAAGGTCATGCTGTGACCTTGACCTTCAAGGAATATTAAGTAATTAATAAATTTTGTAGGTTCAGAAGCAGTTATCAAGTTTGTTTCGTTTAAACTGTTGCGCAAGACACGTCATCTCAATATGGTTATCATGGTGAAATACTTTAAAAATACGACTTCAAATAACAAAGTTAAGGGCCTGACACAATTTTGCTGCAAGGTCATGCTGTGACCTTGACCTTGTAGGTAGCGACCCAAAAGTTGCGCCCGACACATTGTCTCAATATGGTGATCATTTTCTGTAAAATAGTTTAAAAATCAGCCTTCAAAGAACAAAGTTAATGGCCAGACACGATTTTGCTGCAAGATCATGCTGTGACCTTGACCTTCAAGGTAGCGACCCAAATTTGCACACGACACATCGTCTCAATATGGTGATCATATCTGTGAAATAGCTGAACAATCCGACTTCAAAAAACATAATTATGGGCTGGACACAATTTTGCTGCAAGGTCATGATTTGACCTTGACCTTCAAGGTAGCGACCCATAAATTACGTGTGACACGTCGTCTCAATATGGTGATCATTTCTGTGAAATAGTTTAACCAAACCAACTAATTACCTCACATTCTTTCAAAAATACTGCTAAAAATATGGTAACATGTTTGATATAAAATTTTAAGATAAAGCTTGACAAATTCTTCACCATCCCCAAATATATTTAGTTGTACAATTATATCCATTCCAAGCTGGGCCAGATAAGGAGTTGTGATGTATCCTGGGAAAGTAGTGGTAGCCTTCCTTGTTTGCCGATGATGTTAAGGTGATAAGTTCTCATTTTTAAGACATGAATGTTTGCACTGTGCCTTTTATCCTCTTTCTACATATTGGACATTGTTGTAAGCGTCCCGCGCAGGTTTCACAGCATACAAGATGACCACAAGGTAATAATGTGGTATTAACAGGCCTTTCCATACATATTTTACATGTCTGCATTTCTTTCAACTTTTTATTCTCTGCTTTCAATGATTGTGCATCTGTAGAATTTTGAAGAAAAAAATCTTCTTTACAATGGCACATTGTACTTCTTTACACATTGCTTAAAACTTTGAAAAAGAATCACTATGTACATTTTTATTTCCGCCATTGTAAAGAAGATTTTTTTGTAATAAAAGGCACAGTGAAAACATTCATGTCTTAAAAATGAGAACTAATCACCTTAACATCATCGGATGACTGATTGTCTAAAATCAAAGGATTTTCTAGTTGTCGAATGAAAAGTAAATAGATAAAATGGTTAATCACCAATTTCTATCCCATCATCAACATTTGTTGGTTCTGAATCTTTCAGCAGGCTTGATATCCCACAACTGGTACCAATGCTTGTTGATCTGTAACTGGTACCAATGCTTGTTGATCTGTCACTGTCTTTTTCTATTTTTACAGATCTATTCACAGTGGACTTATAGCTATCAGAATAATTTTCATTTTCAGTGCTGTCGTCAAATTGCCTTTTTACCTGATTTTTGCAATGTTTGACACTTCTGGTGACATCCTTTCTGAAGGAGTCATCATTACATGTATTTGGTTCACTACATTCTGTTGATTTCAAATCTTTCATTGATTGCACATTTTCAGTGCCACCAATTTCATTGTGAACTATGTCATTTTCATTATGTCATGGAGTGAATACCCCCGCATACCACTTTGTAAGAATCAACAGTGGCCATTTAGAGCTCAAGGACAACCTCCCTGCCAAATCTGAGGTTACTAAGCCAGTGCATTGCTATGTTATGTATTCTACATGCTTCAAATGTGAAAATGTCAAAATCAATACACTGCGGACAGGCATTCTTAAACAATTGATGGGAAAAGCTTTTTTTAGTCAAGGTCCCTGTGACCTAAAAATCAATAGGGGTCACCTTATCGTCATGATCAACCTCCATGCCAAATATGAAGACTGTGGGTCAAAGGAATCTTAAGTTAATGGGCGGACAAACTTTTTGAAGTCAAAGTCCATGTGACCTTGACCTTTAACCCAGTGACCTTAAAATCAATAGGGGTCACCTACTAATCATGACTAACCTCCATGCCAAATATGAGGATTGTGGGTAAAAGGAATCTTAAGTTAATGGGCGGACAAGCTTTTTGAAGTTAAAGTCCATGTGACCTTGACCTTTGACCCAGTGACCTTAAAATCAATAGGGGTCACCTATTAATGATTTGATAAACCTCCATGCCAAATATGAGGACTGTGGGTCAAAGGAATCTTAAGTCATTGGACGGACAAGCTTTTTGAAGTCAAGGCCTGTGACCTTGACCTTTGACCCGGTGTCCTCAAAATCAATAGGGGTCATCTATCCATCATGACTAACCTCCATGCCAAATATGAAGACTGTGGGTCAAAGGAATCTTAAGTTATTGGGCGGACAAGCTTTTTGAAGTCAAGGCCCCTGTGACCTTGACCTTTCACCTGGTGACCTCAAAATCAAAAGGGGTCATCTACTCATCATGACTAACCTCCATGCCAAATATGAAGACTGTTGGTCAAAGGAATCTTAAGTTATTGGGCGGACAAGCTTTTTGAAGTCAAGGCCCCTGTGACCTTGACCTTTGACCTGGTGACCTCAAAATCAAAAAGGGTCATCTACTCATCATGACTAACCTCCATGCCAAATATGAAGACTGTTGGTCAAAGGAATCTTAAGTTATTGGGCGGACAAGCTTTTTGAAGTCAAGGCCCCTGTGACCTTGACCTTTGACCGGTGACCTCAAAATCAATAGGGGTTATCTACTCATCATGGCCAACCTTCATGCCAAATATGAAGACTGTGGGTCAAAGGAATCATAAGTTATTGGGCGGACAAGTTTTTTGAAGTCACGGCCCCTGTGACTTTGACATTTGACCCAGTGACCTCAAAATCAATAGGGGTCATCTACTCATCATGACTAACCTCCATGCCAAAATACAGACTGTGGGTCAAAGGAATCTTAAGTTATTGGGCGGACAAGCTTTTTGAAGTCAAGGCCCCTGTGACCTTGACCTTTGACCGGTGACCTCAAAATCAATAGGGGTCATCTACTCATCATGACCAACCTCCATGCCAAATATGAAGACTGTCGGTCAAAGGAATCTTAGGTTATTGGGCAGACAAGCTTTTTGAAGTCAAGGCCCCTGTGACCTTGACTTTTGACCCAGTGACCTCAAAATCGATAGGGGTTATCTACATATCATGACTAATCTCCATGCCAAATATGAAGACTGTGGGTCAAAGGAATCTTAAGTTATTGGAGGACAAGCTTTTTGAAATCAAGGCCTCTGTGACCTTGACCTTTGACCCAGTGACCTCAAATCAATAGGGGTCATCTACTCATCATAACCAACCTCCATGCCAAATATGAAGACTGTCGGTCAAAGGAATCCTAAGTTATTGGGCGGACAAGCTTTTTGAAGTCAAGGCCCCTGTGACCTTGACCTTTGACCTGGTGACCTCAAAATCATTAGGGGTCATCTACACATCATTACTAACCTCCATGCCAAATATGAAGACTGTGGGTCAAAGGAATCTTAAGTTATTGGGAGGACAAGCTTTTTGAAATCAAGGCCCCTGTGACCTTGACCTTTGACCGGTGACCTCAAAATCAATAGGGGTTATCTACTCATCATGGCCAACCTTCATGCCAAATATGAAGACTGTGGGTCAAAAGGAATCATAAGTTATTGGGCGGACAAGCTTTTTGAAGTCACGGCCCCTGTGACTTTGACATTTGACCCAGTGACCTAAAAATCAATAGGGGTCATCTACTCATCATGACTAACCTCCATGCCAAAATACAGGCTGTGGGTCAAAGGAATCTTAAGTTATTGGGCGGACAAGCTTTTTGAAGTCAAGGCCCCTGTGACCTTGACCTTTGACCGGTGACCTCAAAATCAATAGGGGTCATCTACTCATCATGACCAACCTCCATGCCAAATATGAAGACTGTTGGTCAAAGGAATCTTAAGTTATTGGGCAGACAAGCTTTTTGAAGTCAAGGCCCCTGTGACCTTGACTTTTGACCCAGTGACCTCAAAATCGATAGGGGTTATCTACTCATCATGACTAATCTACATGCCAAATATGAAGACTGTGGGTCAAAGGAATCTTAAGTTATTGGGAGGACAAGCTTTTTGAAATCAAGGCCTCTGTGACCTTGACCTTTGACCCGGTGACCTCAAAATCAATAGGGGTCATCTACTCATCATAACCAACCTCCATGCCAAATATGACGATTGTGGGTCAAAGGTCTCTTAAGTTATTGGGAGCCGAGGACAAGCTTTTGTAAGTCAAGGCCCCTGTGACCTTGACCTTTGACCTGGTGACCTCAAAATCAATAGGGGACATTTACTCATCATGAACAACCTCCATGCCAAATATGAAGACTGTGGGTCAAAGGAATCTTAAGTTATTGGGAGGACAAGCTTTTTGAAATCAAGGCCCCTGTGACCTTGACCTTTGACCCGGTGACCTCAAAATCAATAGGGGTCATCTACTCATCATGACCAACCTCCATGCCAAATATGAAGACTGTTGGTCAAAGGAATCTTAAGTTATTGGGCAGACAAGCTTTTTGAAGTCAAGGCCCCTGTGACCTTGACTTTTGACCCAGTGACCTCAAAATCGATAGGGGTTATCTACATATCATGACTAATCTCCATGCCAAATATGAAGACTGTGGGTCAAAGGAATCTTAAGTTATTGGGAGGACAAGCTTTTTGAAATCAAGGCCTCTGTGACCTTGACCTTTGACCCAGTGACCTCAAAATCAATAGGGGTCATCTACTCATCATAACCAACCTCCATGCCAAATATGAAGACTGTCGGTCAAAGGAATCCTAAGTTATTGGGCGGACAAGCTTTTTGAAGTCAAGGCCCCTGTGACCTTGACCTTTGACCTGGTGACCTCAAAATCATTAGGGGTCATCTACACATCATTACTAACCTCCATGCCAAATATGAAGACTGTGGGTCAAAGGAATCTTAAGTTATTGGGAGGACAAGCTTTTTGAAATCAAGGCCCCTGTGACCTTGACCTTTGACCGGTGACCTCAAAATCAATAGGGGTTATCTACTCATCATGGCCAACCTTCATGCCAAATATGAAGACTGTGGGTCAAAAGGAATCATAAGTTATTGGGCGGACAAGCTTTTTGAAGTCACGGCCCCTGTGACTTTGACATTTGACCCAGTGACCTAAAAATCAATAGGGGTCATCTACTCATCATGACTAACCTCCATGCCAAAATACAGGCTGTGGGTCAAAGGAAATCTTAAGTTATTGGGCGGACAAGCTTTTTGAAGTCAAGGCCCCTGTGACCTTGACCTTTGACCGGTGACCTCAAAATCAATAGGGGTCATCTACTCATCATGACCAACCTCCATGCCAAATATGAAGACTGTTGGTCAAAGGAATCTTAAGTTATTGGGCAGACAAGCTTTTTGAAGTCAAGGCCCCTGTGACTTGACTTTTGACCCAGTGACCTCAAAATCGATAGGGGTTATCTACTCATCATGACTAATCTACATGCCAAATATGAAGACTGTGGGTCAAAGGAATCTTAAGTTATTGGGAGGACAAGCTTTTTGAAATCAAGGCCTCTGTGACCTTGACCTTTGACCCGGTGACCTCAAAATCAATAGGGGTCATCTACTCATCATAACCAACCTCCATGCCAAATATGACGATTGTGGGTCAAAGGTCTCTTAAGTTATTGGGAGCCGAGGACAAGCTTTTGTAAGTCAAGGCCCCTGTGACCTTGACCTTTGACCTGGTGACCTCAAAATCAATAGGGGGACATTTACTCATCATGAAACAACCTCCATGCCAAATATGAAGACTGTGGGTCAAAGGAATCTTAAGTTATTGGGAGGACAAAGCTTTTTGAAATCAAGGCCCCTGTGACCTTGACCTTTGACCCGGTGACCTCAAAATCAATAGGGGTCATCTACTCATCATGACCAACCTCCATGCCAAATATGAAGACTGTCGGTCAAAGGAATCTTAGGTTATTGGGCAGACAAGCTTTTTGAAGTCAAGGCCCCTGTGACCTTGACTTTTGACCCAGTGACCTCAAAATCGATAGGGGTTATCTACATATCATGACTAATCTCCATGCCAAATATGAAGACTGTGGGTCAAAGGAATCTTAAGTTATTGGGAGGACAAAGCTTTTTTGAAATCAAGGCCTCTGTGACCTTGACCTTTGACCCAGTGACCTCAAAATCAATAGGGGTCATCTACTCATCATAACCAACCTCCATGCCAAATATGAAGACTGTCGTCAAAGGAATCCTAAGTTATTGGGCGGACAAGCTTTTTGAAGTCAAGGCCCCTGTGACCTTGACCTTTGACCTGGTGACCTCAAAATCATTAGGGGTCATCTACACATCATTACTAACCTCCATGCCAATATGAAGACTGTGGGTCAAAGGAATCTTAAGTTATTGGGAGGACAAGCTTTTTGAAATCAAGGCCCCTGTGACCTTGACCTTTGACCGGGTGACCTCAAAATCAATAGGGGTTATCTACTCATCATGGCCAACCTTCATGCCAAAAATATGAAGACTGTGGGTCAAAAGGAATCATAAGTTATTGGGCGGACAAGCTTTTTTGAAGTCACGGCCCCTGTGACTTTGACATTTGACCCAGTGACCTAAAAATCAATAGGGGTCATCTACTCATCATGACTAACCTCCATGCCAAAATACAGGCTGTGGGTCAAAGGAATCTTAAAGTTATTGGGCGGACAAGCTTTTTTGAAGTCAAGGCCCCTGTGACCTTGACCTTTGACCGGTGACCTCAAAATCAATAGGGGTCATCTACTCATCATGACCAACCTCCATGCCAAATATGAAGACTGTTGGTCAAAGGAATCTTAAGTTATTGGGCAGACAAGCTTTTTGAAGTCAAGGCCCCTGTGACCTTGACTTTTGACCCAGTGGCCTCAAAATCGATAGGGGTTATCTACTCATCATGACTAATCTACATGCCAAATATGAAGACTGTGGGTCAAAGGAATCTTAAGTTATTGGGAGGACAAGCTTTTTGAAATCAAGGCCTCTGTGACCTTGACCTTTGACCCGGTGACCTCAAAAATCAATAGGGGTCATCTACTCATCATAACCAACCTCCATGCCAAATATGACGATTGTGGGTCAAAGGTCTCTTAAGTTATTGGGAGCCGAGGACAAGCTTTTGTAAGTCAAGGCCCCTGTGACCTTGACCTTTGACCTGGTGACCTCAAAATCAATAGGGGACATTTACTCATCATGAACAACCTCCATGCCAAATATGAAGACTGTGGGTCAAAGGAATCTTAAGTTATTGGGAGGACAAGCTTTTTGAAATCAAGGCCCCTGTGACCTTGACCTTTGACCCGGTGACCTCAAAATCAATAGGGGTCATCTACTCATCATGACCAACCTCCATGCCAAATATGAAGACTGTTGGTCAAAGGAATCTTAAGTTATTGGGCAGACAAGCTTTTTGAAGTCAAGGCCCTGTGACCTTGACTTTTGACCCAGTGACCTCAAAATCGATAGGGGTTATCTACTCATCATGACTAATCTCCATGCCAAATATGAAGACTGTGGGTCAAAGGAATCTTAAGTTATTGGGAGGACAAGCTTTTTGAAATCAAGGCCTCTGTGACCTTGACCTTTGACCCGGTGACCTCAAAATCAATAGGGGCCATCTACTCATCATAACCAACCTCCATGCCAAATATGAAGACTGTCGGTCAAAGGAATCCTAAGTTATTGGGCGGACAAGCTTTTTGAAGTCAAGGCCCCTGTGACCTTGACCTTTGACCTGGTGACCTCAAAATCATTAGGGGTCATCTACACATCATGACTAACCTCCATGCCAAATATGAAGAATGTGGGTCAAAGGAATCTTAAGTTATTGGGAGGACAAGCTTTTTGAAATCAAGGCCCCTGTGACCATGACCTTTGACCCGGTGACCTCAAAATCAATAGGGGTCATCTACTCATCATGACCAACCTCCATGCCAAATATGAAGACTGTTGGTCAAAGAATCCTAAGTTATCGGGCGGACAAGCTTTTTTGAAGTCAAGGCCCCTGTGACCTTGACCTTTGACCGGTGAC